TCTAGGCACAGCTAAGATACTGCGCAGAACCCTCAAGCTCCCAGGCCTCTGGTAGAGGACCCGAGCTCAGAGGATGAAAGAGACCATCCGCGGAGGGTGAGAAGGGAATTTTTTTTTTATATATATATATGTTTATATATGCTTTGTGTGGTGGAAAGCAAACGAACCAAACCAGTATGCCAGCATAAGTCAGTTTAATGATGGTTTTTAGAAAACAAAATATCAAATGAAGTCAAGGCCAACATAAAAAGAATAATACAAAAAAAATGTATTGATACAAAATCTAGAGGGGTTACATTTGTATTAAAGCATTTGCTACTAAGAGAAATGGTGTTTACTGAATTCAAAACATTYAGGAGCAAATATCAAGACTTTTCAAGTAAAGAATTAGTTTTCCCATTTTTGTACATATGTTACATTATTTCTATTTGAATACAGCTTTCTGAACATMTATTGTTAATAATAATCATAACAAGATAAAAAAACATTTCAATGAATGTGTTTCCCTGTAAACTGGTACTTTATCACTTTATTTTTCCCCTACAGAAAAAAAAAAAAAACCCAGTGCAACTGGAAAGATTTTTGAACTCTTTTGATCCCAGCATTGACAGGTGAGGCTTAACTGACAGATATAGATTCCACTAAACTATACGCACAGTCACAAAAAAGTACAAAATTGTCTCACCTTAATACACAAAATGTTTTAGAAAAAAAAAGAAGAAAAATCAAACAAAAGCACTAAAACACTTACTTGTGCAAAGACAAACAGCTATGTGCTAATATTTAAATACCATTGGTTTGGACTTAACCAAATCATTTCTCTCTTTTTTGTCAGGAATCCCTGATTTGAGGTAAAAGTAATTTCTTTTTTTAAATCTTTAGTTTAAAACAACTCTTCAAAGTGTTTACAAAATAATGCATATCTTCAGTTCATCAGTACTGTAGTTGCTACAAATAGTACAATGTGCCTTTTTTATGTGTATTGGTCCTTTTAGGTGATAAGTCATCAACAAAAAAAGGACTACAACACATTTTTTATGTTAAAAACTCAGCCCTTTCAATGTGCACACAAAGTGGAAAACCTACATTTTCACGACAGTATTCAGTGTTTAGAGTTGGAGTACGCTCACCTACAAATCAAACAGAGCAGAAGAAACTTAAATATAGTTGGTGTTAAGGATTTTTTTCAACATGGCAGCCAGTATTGAAGTCAATTTCAAGGACAAAGCCAAAATATACATGAAGATCACAGTGGAGGTGAAACCTCCTTTGCTTGAAACACAGGGACAAATATGCGTGGAGGTAAATCCATTGGAGGCATGGATGACATGCCAACTATACTCGGCAACTCGGGGACGGGCCGGAGACTGTGTTCAAATTGAACCTGAGAACAACCTGGACACGTCAGGCCCGGCCCCCAAGGACCACCAGGACCATCGCAGCCACCCACTGCGAGGCGAGGCCGGCGACCTCCATCAGGCTCATCCCAGGACGAGCCATCACACTGGCAGAGGCCTATTTCAGATGAGGAGTGGGGAAATTTTGTTATTATTGTTCATTTATGTTTGTTAGTATTTTAGTTTAGTTTTTTATTTAAACTGTTTATGTTTTTAATGTTTGTCTTTAAAATAAATGTTATTTCTAAAAAAACCCAATAATAATAATAATTGGTGATAAGCTAAACTTGCCGTGGTAATACCTGATAAAGCCGTTTATTTAGTCCAACTTTGAAATGGGATGGATCTGGGAATGAAAACGGATGAGAACAGGGAAAAAACGTATTTTGTTGTTTTATTGGTTTTAGTTGCTCTTTATGCATCCAACTTGTTTTCTCTCCCTCTTTTTTTGAGCTTTTAGAGGAGATAGTCCAGGATTTACCCATGCTGTGCAAACAGATATGTTGAGACAATGATATGTCGTCACAGTTGCCTAAAGAGGTATAACTGTGTGCAAGAAGCAGGCAGGCTGAGAGAGAAAGGGGAGTAAAGGGTGGGGGGGCGCGGGGTTTAGTATTGCTTCGCCTCTCTCAGGACACCCCTCAGTCGCACCACGAACAACAAACGTTTCTGACCTTTGGATGCGTGCATGTGTGTCCTGTTGTCCACACACACACACACACACACACACAC